TGCAATGCACTACCACCATCATTACCTCATTGTGGCACAACGATGCCTGATATTAAAATCAGGCAATGTGAGGTTCGTGCCGAATTGCAATCACTCGACGTCCGGAAAGCTAGTGGACCTGATGGCATCCCAGCAGTAGTACTGAAAAAATGTGCAACGGGGTTGTCTCCTGTGCTCACGCGCTTCTACCAATGCTCGTATTCTTTGGGGCGTGTGCCGGAGACTTGGAGAGATGCTAACGTGCAACCGGTGCCCAAAAAAGGGGATCGCTCAGACCCGGCAAACTACCGGTCAATAGCAGTCATCTAAGTTTTATGTAAAGTTCTAGAAAAGCTCCTTAATAACCATCTGACCCGTCATCTTATTTTATATTTATTTTATTTATTTATCACCTTCAGGGCAAAACACTACCGCTACAGAGCAACATTTCCATGCTCGGTATGGAAGTTCGCTCAGACCTGAATAAAAAGGACTACATCAAAACAGCTTCACGCAAACTCGGAGTCCTGAACAAGGTGTGGCGTTCTTTCACGCCCGATCAACTGTGCTTGTTGTACAAAACGCAAGTGCGGTCCTGCGTGGAATATTGCTCGCACCTCTGGGATGGCTCCGATAAGTACTTGCTCGATGCTTTGGATAGGTTACAGCGGCGCGCGATCCGCATCATAGGCGATGAGGAGGTGACTAAACACCTTGAGCCGTGACGTGGCGTCACTAAGCGCGTTCTATCGTGTGTACCACGGCGAGTGTTCTGAGGAGTTATTCTCTCTTATCCCACCTTCCCCTTTCCTTCAGAGGACCACGCGAGCTGGCCTACGTTGTCACCGTCTTACTGTGGCCACAATTCCAACGCGTACAAAGAAATTTGGTGACTCATTTCTTTTGTCGCACTATCCGTAAATGGAATGCTCTGCCCGCTCACGTGTTCCCTCCCTCTTACAACCTGGGATCCTTTAAAAGAGACGTGAAGAAGCAACATACAGGCCGGCAGGGTGAGGATGGCTGGTGTGGCAGGTAGAACTGCTGTATCAGCTATCTTCGCGTCTGGACTTCACCTTCACTTAACATCAGGTGGGGTGGAGTCATTTGTCGGACCTATCTATAAAATATATATATTTATATGAAGTAACTAAAATATAACGTAAGTGCTCAACGCATTCGTATTATTGACCAATACATCGTATTTTAATGGTTTAAATATTAAATTATTATTAAAAGCCTCATTTTAACAACTATTTTTTATACTAACATTAACATAATAATATTTTTTTCAAAAAAAAGCTATATCAGTGATCTTTTTATAAAAATGTCATAAATATTGTTTAAACAATAAAAAAAATATTTCCCCCCTTCCAAAGGTTTCTGATTTTGAATAATATTAAAAAACCAATTTAAAGAAAAAAAATATCAAAATCGGAGCTGTTCCACCGGGTTTCCAAGTTTTGCCTGTTTTATGTCTTAATTGACTGGACTATAGGTTTTATCCACGTTTATAAACACCTAAATTAAAGGACACCCGGCATTTTGTGCCAAAGTTGTATACTTTTTTAATTTTTTTATCTGTGTTTCATAATTGGGTAACGTAGTCTGGCAATATTTGTCATCAGCAGCTAGCTGTCAATGTCAAATACGTAGGTTTGTCAATATAACCTCTTTATGTAGCCGGGTCGTCAAGAGAAATAACGGATAAAAAGGCAATCACAACAGAGAACATTCACAATTACAGTACGCGGGAGCGGATGCGAAATGCGAATGATTTTTTTGTTTGTATTTTAGGATTGTCAAATTGACATTTGGTTTTTTACTTAGAAAAAGTAAAGGAATCATGGTTTTTACAGTCACTTGAGTAATATTTTGGAGTAAAATTCTGTCCCTTGAAGATTTAGGGTTTCCATATCAAAAAATATTAATCATTATATAACTTCTTTCCATGATTCACTAAAAATAAGGCAAAAGTAGTTTTATGTAGCAAATAATTTTGACTTTATTTTGAGACCAAATTCAACTGTATACAAGTTTAGCATTTTTTCTATGAAAAGTGCCGGGTCTCCTTTCTTCTCTTAGTATTTCCGCAGTCTACTCCTACATAGTACACCGTGCTATCACTTTGTCATCGTTGTAACTTTTTAAATATTTGTCAAAATGACATAGTGTAAAAGGCAAAGTTTATCGTCTTTAAATACCAAAAGCGATAAACGTATTTGTTTTGATAAAAAAATAATTTGTTAATATAAAATGTGCATTTTGGAAATAGATGTCAAATAATATTTTAGTTTTGATTCACTATTTTAGCGGTAATGGCTTACACATTAAAAATAGATATATGGTGTCACGGACATTTTATTACAACTATTTAAGAGATACATTTTCACTCTACGTTATATTCATGTAACTTTTATTGTTTTTGCAGTGCAGGCTAAAATGGCTCACAGATGGGAGATTTTTTTCCGTCTCATGTGACACTTATTCTTATATTTTGGCCAATTCACTCAAAAACTACATAAATTATAATCATATATGAGCTATATTACTGTTAAGTTTCATTAAAATCCATTCAGTATTTTTTAGGTGAAAGAGTAACAAAGATCCATACAAACGTAAGATTGAAATTAAAAGCGCAAGTGGTTAAAATACAACTTTAAAGCGTTGTAGATCCTAAACAATCATATAAAATGAAAAATGGTGTTAGGAACTTAAACATGATTTTCGATTATCTAGACAGTGATACCCCACTCGATATATTTTGTCAACTTATTTTTTTAACTTCGTCACAATATGACGCCTAATTTTGCCCATATTGAATTTTCATTACTATCATATCTTTAGTAGCACTCCCATGATTGAGACGAATCGATTGATGTATGAATCATCAAAATCATTCGAAGCGTTTGGTCTCTAGTGTGCCACTAAGGAACAAACATACATATATAGACTGTTAAACACTATACCCTGTCTGCGCGTCGCGCTTTGCGCTCTTGCATTGCGCAGTCGGGTAAAAAGGTCCGCGTATGTGTAAACTTATGCAGCTACATTCAATTCCCAATGAACAAAGATAAATGTTTTAAAACAGTTTAAGTTGAACCTTATAACAACTATCTCACATAGGAATAAGGTTACAATTAACAAAATTTTATTTCGCACATACAACCTCATATCTTATAAAACAAACTCTTGTTCTTTTTTTAAATTATATCTGATACTTGGGAAAAACGATAAAGGTGAAAAAATAAATCAACCTTATGACCCACAAAATATAGTACATTACGATACGCGTGACCCAAGTCGCCTATTACTGCACGGCGTGAAGTTAGCGCCCGAGCGGAGCGAGGGTGCTAAACGCCGTGCAGTAATAGACAACTTAGGCCACAAGTATCGTATACTATTTTATAGCAAGTGTGACATAAACCCGCCCCGGACGCGGGCAAGAGGGGGGGGGGGGGGGAGTTCGTGGGATGCGATAAGTGTTTTGAAAGTAAAATTCATGTATTGCAATCACAAAGAATTGCAATACAGACTGCAAGTCAAACTCTGAAAAGAAACAATTCCGGTTCAGATTACCATTTTGAAAGTATATTTCAAAAGGAAAAAATCAAATATCATTACAACAAAATAGAATTTCAATGTATCCATGAACGTTTATGCCTTGATTGGCATAACAATATATTAAACAACGGGAATGAGCTTTATTTTTTGTACTCGTATAATTCAAACAAGAATTCCTAACCTATCGCTAATTTGTCATTTGTTTGCTGTGAGTTTTTAAGCTCCAAATGACATTTAAATGTGTTTCCTTTTATTTTTTCTACATGAGTGAAGTTGGTCAATTCATTTACACACCGTGAAGAAATAGGCAACTTAGGTCACGGAAAAGCGTGCGTAAAGTGCGGGTTTAGGTCACACTGTGCTATAAAAATATTTTCATCAGTCTTTGGCCAGCGAGTTACTTTGTTTTGTATTAACCAAGCTAATTTAAAATAATATCTCACGCCTCAAGTTAGGCTATATTTACTGAGAGGGATTTTACACGCTGACCTGTTATTTATAGAATTGTTGGTTGATGTTTGTAATGGGTTTAAAAAGTCACATTGTTTGGTTGAAGAGAGACATACAAGGCCTCTGTTTAGGTTTTTTTTATTTTCCGTGACTTAACAATGCTTTGTCAATACTGATTATTATGTTTACCTTTTGGAAGGAACAACATGGAAGACAATTTTAACATTAATATTTTTACACTAAACATGTTCTTTTTTAATCTTATTTAATGATAATCTTTATGAGTACCATATCAATAATTTTTAATGGTGTTTTTCTAAATTCAGAAAGATTTACATTTAAATATTTCGGTAATTTACCTAAGTTTGCCGTGTGGAGATGACAGTCGGCCTGTTTGTTTAATTTCTTTAGAAAAATGGTTAGAACCTTCGAAATTTCTTTTGTTTTATACATTTTCTTTTGTTTTGTGCCATGTGCTAATCTGAGGACTGTTTATATTACAGCTACAAAATTTTACATGATTTCATGGTGTCGGTGACACTCGAGAGGTCCCGGTTTAGAATCCCAGTGGGGGCATATGTTTGTGTGATGAATACTAGCATTGGTACTCCAGTCATGGATGTTTGATATGTATCCCATATAAATATGTATCTACCCGTACCCAAGTATCCCATTACACAAGCCGTCTTATAGTGCTTACTTTGGGGCTAGGCTAATGGTGTGTGTTGGAAATACTTGTAAATATATATATTATATATATATAGTAGTAGTACTATAGTTGGAAATTTCAATACAGACAATCCAAAGTGAGTTTGGATTTTGCTTCAAGGCCCCTTGCAATTAATAGTTCGATGCCCTACCAGTGAGTCTATTGAGGTGGGCCTGGTGCCCAAGTACTTTTTAAATTTTAATTCAACCTATAAATTCATAGCAAAAGATTCGCTTAGGAATCAAAGCATTACTATCAGTTCTTTAGAATTTAATATAATTTACAATAAATATCTTACCTCTGACTTTACACAGTGTATCCACTATACGTTCAGCATTTGCTGGTGACAGGAAAGCATTGGCAGACTCGTCAGTTTTCCCAGTAACTGATTGTATTGTGTTGCGAGCATACTGTGCAACTGTGCCAACCCCTAGACCAGCAGCTAATGATCCAAAAGATATCATTCTGCCGATTCGCGATGAAGGCACAACCCGTTCCTTTGAATTCTCACTTAGCTGCAATAATTTTATAAATATAGTATAATATAATTTTATATTAATAAATTGAAGACTGAGTCTTGCAGCTCTGCAAAAATTGTTCATAGGTTGTCTTATTGTTGCCTTTAAATCTGAAAAGCAGAATGGATAAAAAGGCGACATTGCAAATAATCTCAATGTCATTCATTTTCTCATTAAAATCTTTTACAATTGAGGGCCACTCAAGAAACTCCAGTGCCCATATTCTGTGGCGGTGAACCCAGAAAGACTGTTCTTTAGAAAATGAATTTTATTCAGATGAATTGCAATATAATTTTTTAATAAATATAAGTGTTTATATTGTAGTAATTTGAATTTAATATATATTACTTACCGCTACTCTTATTTTTTTCTTAGCTACTGGTTTTTTTGGAGTTTCTTTTGACCCGCTTGCAACATATTCAGGTCTCTCCATTTCAAATTTAGAAAGTGGAGCCATTTTAGGTATTGTAATTGTCTCATGAGAAATTGGTGAAGGTTGTTCCTTACTTTTATCTTGTAGTTTAGTAAGTGGTGATACATAATGGGTACTTGTTGAAGAAAGACTAGACTTATGGTCTTGAGACTTCTTCAATGTCTCAAATGTCTTATTAAACTCTCTATTCAATTCTTCTATTTCCTCCTTTAGTTCATTATCCATTTCATCAGGTGTTTCTGTTTCAGCATTAAAATTTGAAATATGTAAGACAGCAAATTGTCTAAAGCCTTGAGCAACAACCAAGGCTCTCTCAAGCAAATCTTTGGCATCCCCAGGCTTAGGTTTGTAAGCTGATATAGTGTTAGTTGGACAATTTTGTACAATACTTTTGATAGAAGAGTTATTCCATATTACTCTAGAATTTTCTTGTTGTAGTTTTAAGCCTGCTTCAACCACTAACCGCAGACCCCGCACTACACCTATTATATCGTTAATATGTGACATTGCCTGAAATACAGAGTTATGTGGGTGTCAAGCAGTTATTTACTAATGTACTTTTATTATGTTTAGAAATATAAGTTGTAAGTTTGTAACTTTTTTTACTGATTATAGAGTTAGCCCCTATTCCATCCATAAAGAAGGCCTGGGCCGCAGCAGTGAGAACATTAATAGGCTGATGATGATGAAAGTGTTAGCAGTTGCTAAGCATTATGGTCATAAAGTTACTTTGAAAATATTATGAAATTATGGACGGAAGTTATTGCATAACTATTTACATAAAACAAATTTTGTTTTTACTCGTTTTTAGAAATAGTAGAAAGACATATTGTTGATATACTAGAATTATATTTTTATTATTAAAATACTGGCATAGTATGGCGTCTTATTATGGTTAGATTAATAATATAATTGAATAAAAACAGAACATGTGTGAACCTTCGTTTGGTGAAGGTTAACTTACCAATTTTGCAGGTTAGAAGTTGCAAACAAAGTGAGTTCTATTACATATACGAAATTGATTTTAAAATTTCATATGTTTTCCATAATTTACGCCTATAAAAATTAACTACAACACCAAATTCACAAGAAATAAATCTGGACTCTGAATGTTTACAATTTTTAAATCATAATCAAAATGTCAACGTCAGATTGACAATGACTTTGACAAAACGAACCCGCTATTACTCTAATTTAAAAAGGGTCATGGGCCCAGTTTTTAAATACATGGACGAACTATGAAGTATTACGATTGATTTATGTTGCTGCTTATATTTTTTGTGATGCGCGCCTCAGACCAATTTGGTTTGAGCTGCGCGCGTATACAACAAAATTTGAGTACTGATTCTGATTGCTAGGGTCGTACTGTGTTGTGCTAAATAGCACCGAAATGCGTATCGGAACTATATATATATATATATAGATTCCGGAACTGGCATAAATGTAAAGTTAAATTTCTTATCAGTCTCTCCTTTTCATTCTGTATAGAGAATGACAAGGATACACTGTTATCACGTTTAGGTATAGAGAATCATGCTAGAATTGATACCGTTACTATGCTTGAATCCATTACTTATTCATTTTTATAAATGTGAAAATAAGTTTGAATTTTTGTCACTCAAACAAACAAAAAGGCTGAGATGATATGGATAAAAGGCACACATGTATAATCAATATCTTTTTATCCCAGAAACATGTTAGATTTCTATGGGAGTCTACTTAGGTAGGTATTCAAAAACTAACAATGACGCTTACAAAGTCGCGGGCTGAAGCTTGGAATTTTTTACCATGTATGACAAAATTGTGGAATATGTTGTCGCCAGCAGTGTTTAAGGACCAATATGACCCAAGAACCTTCAAAAAAAGAGCGTACTCCTTCCTTAAAGGCCGGCATCGCATTTGTGATACTCTTGGTGTTGCAAGTGTCCATGGGCGACGGTGATCACTTGCCATCAGGTGAGCCGTCTGCTCGTATGCCCCCTATAACATAAAAAAAATGTTCTTTTCTTTCATTATGTCTATGGTTGAGCCCATAGTTGAGCCTGGTCGTCTTAAATGCAAAATGGGGGCTAGAGCTCGTGGGAATCAGTTAATAAGGAGGCATGTCAGAAACAAAGCGGAAAATCCCTTGACGCCGTGTCTGTCTTTTGCTATAAAAATCATAAAAAACAGCAAGCTAGCAATAATAAAAAAAATCTTCTTTAGTTTAGAAAATAATTACTGTTTGAATGGTGTACGCTGGCGTGACGATCAAGGTAGCGTACACCAGGCCATTCTCGAAAACGGCTTATTGTAATGCAACCAAATTACTAATTATTACCGATAAATATGTTTAATCATTATCTGTGTTACATTAGGTACTTCTATTGTATTACTATAAATAAGTAGGTAGTTTTAATAAAAAACTGTGACGACATACTAGTATGGTACCTACCTACTTACCTAGTAAACCCGTTACATGATTGTGATAAAATACTGGTTTTAGCATAATAAATCACACCAAAAAATACTGTAAAAAATTAGCCAAGTCTCGATGGAGCTGCTTGTTTATCTCTAAAAAGTAATGAAATCTAGATAAAGTCGTGCCAAGTCTAAGGTTCCTTACTGCGATTTCTTTATTATTACAGTTAATGTTGTGTGACTTGGCCGTGGAAAGGTACGCAAGGGTACAAAACCAGATGCTACATTACACCATTGGAAATTAGTTCCAGTAAAGGGTGGTACGGCAGTGTTTACTTTGCGCTGCCACTGGCACTGCCGTGCCAGATATTATGGTAGCTTTCCAATTACAGCAACGCTTCGCACAATTGAGCACTCTCAAAAGTAATGTTTTCGTGTGATGCGTGCAATCGTACCAACCCAGTGACAGAAAATTAACAATGTTTTTTCTTTAAGTTGGCATTGATCGAAATGTTTTATTTATATGTTATCGTAAGTAATATTATTTATTGTTGAAAAATTATTAAAGCTTCCGTTTCATTAAATAGTTTTTTTTAAACAATCAAAGTTAATTCAAACTGTTAAAAAAATAAATATAAGTATGGATGAAGGTACAAACATTGACTTTTTTTTTCAACACTGAACTTAGCGCACTCTGCTGGTGTATTTGAAAACTAATTCACGTTACAATTACGCATCAGCATAATTCAGCATTGTGCGGCACTGAGTCGCATTATGCTCTGTAGCTCAGCATTATAGCGCATTATGCGGCATAATGCTTAACGTTGAGTGTTCCAACTACAGCAACGCTTCGCACAATTGAGCACTCTCAAAAGTGATGCTTTCGTGTGATGCGTGCAATCGTACTAACTTAGAGACAGAAAATTGACAAGTTTTTTTCTTTAAGTTGGCATTGATCGAAATGTTTTATTTATATGTTATCGTTAGTAATATTATTTATTGTTGAAAAATTATTAAAGCTTTCGTTTCATTAAATAGTTTTTTTAAATAATCAAAGTTCATTCAAACTGTTAAAAAATAAATATAAGTATGGATGAAGGTACAAACATTGAATTTTTTTTTCAACACTGAACTTAGCGCACTCTGCTGGTGCATTTGAAAACTAATTCACGTTCCAATTAAGCATCAGCATAATTCGGCATTGTGCGGCACTGAGTCGCATTATGCTCTGTAATTGGAAAGCAACCTATGTGTTTCTCTCCTCCTTCCGCTCTAATTGAGGCCTGTAGGCGCGTAAACCTTCGTCTCCATTACAAGGTCTCGTCTGTCTGAGGGCCTCTGTATGCCTCTAACATCGCCCCGATAGTGAGGTGGTAGGTAAGGTTAACAAGCCAGGCCCGAGGCGGAGTGGTTAATTTCCAGAGAAGAACCTACGTCATCGTTGACTGCAAGGATATTCCGAAGTTTAGGCACACTTTTGCGCGAAAGATATCCAGCCAATATTATGAAACTAGGTTTAGTTGTCGTTGTCACGTAACTACTACCTACCTACTACTAACCTACTAACTACTACCTTTTTTTTTGACGGTGGAATCACAGCATCCGGCAGACCAAGAAACGTAGCTATTTCTTTTGGCATATTACCAAATTTGTTTATGCCGATTACTTGAGCTGTACACTTCCCTTTTTGGAAATTTTGAAAAAAAACGGTCGGATTTTCCTTTTTGGGACCGCTGGTTCATATATTTTTTCACTATTGTGAGAAAATCTCCTTCAACAACAAAGCTTCGCGGTATCTTATTTTTTGTGTTTGGAATCTTGATAAGTAGCATTTCTCCATGGGCTTCAATATCTTTTAAAGTAATATTGGCTAACTCACCTCTGCGGCAAGCTCCAACAACGCCAAAAATCAGAGCAACCTAAAAAAACGATTTGATTCATATAAATAATGTATTGACTGTATTTTGCGATTTTGTTTACAAATCTAATTGTAAACAAAATCGCAAAATACATTTAAAAAAATGTAGATATGTATACTTATTAATAAATTACCTTTGTGGCTAAATAACAATCATCGGGAGCTTCTGTCAAAAACCTTTCCACGTCATTCGATGTTAATATTTTCGACTTTTTACTGGTAAACCCGTCTGATTGTCGTTTTAAGAAAGAATTTAATTTTGGATATTGACTTATATCCACGTTGTTCCTTATTTTCAGCATACTTTTTATCATCGAAAACCTTGACCATAACGTGGAAGGTTTTAATTTTGCTGAGAGTTCGGAAAAGTATGCCAACATAACATTTTCTGAAAAACTATTTGCTTTTTTCTCTTCTTTCCACGCAATAAATTCATCGTATGTAGATATGTAGCGAATTTTTGACTTTTCCGGTAAAATGTTCTCCGAAGCATTTTGTGCAATTATACTGAGTTCCGGTGGAGTTAATTCAAAAAAATTTAGGTCGAAATTACTCATTTTGTGTAAAAAAACAACTAAACTCGCAAAGAACATTTCGGAAAATGGCGCCAACCGTAGAATGTAAGAATTTTTTTTTCACCCATTCTGGTAGGCAAAGGGAACTGCCCATACAGCCAAGTCTTTAGTACTTAGTATTTTTTAATTTTATAAGAAATGAAATTGAAATTTAATGATATGAAATGAACTGAAACCTTACCTAACTCATTCAATCAATTAATTAATTCTGATATTGGACAAATTAGTATAGGTAGCTTCTTTTTAAAAAAAAATGGATGCGTGTAACTTATGTACGCGCGTGAGAAGTTATACTTCTTTAGCATCATTAAAATATTTTTTAATTGCATGCAAATAATTAATAATTACAATAAAATAATAAGAGGACTGGAAAAGGATAGTTAACACAGTCAATTAAGTTCAGTTTTAATTTGAAAAATTAAATAAATATTCAAAATATTCAATTAAAATCACTACTGAATTTAAGTTATTAGTCCATATTATGTAATTAGCACTTGTAAGTAACTAAAACACGTTGTGTTCTTGACCCTCACAGTGCTTGTAACAGGCTAGACTGAATAAATGTCATTTCATTTCATTTCGTTTCGTTTCGTTTCGTTTCGTTTCGTTTCGTTTCGTTTCGTTTCATTTCGTTTCGTTTCGTTTCATTTCATTTCATTTCATAGTCCCGTTCAAATCTGCCCTGTTTGCTTTGTTCAAATCTGCCCCACGGTCACTTGGAAAATAAAATATTACAAATAACGCGCCCGCGGCTAACTTCATTATGTTAAAATTTTGTGTTACAGTGATGAAAATTTCACTCTCATAATTTTTTCATAACGCGGCTAAAGAAGTATAACTTCAACAAATAAACCTATTTGCATGAATCGCAAAAACTTCTATGATTTTTTTTAGTTAAAACTTCATGGTTGTTTTTTTTATTTTTTTTTTATATCTTTTTTCCCATCTTGGGAAAGGCAAAGGCAGAGCCATGCAGCCATAGTCTTCATTTAAAGGATTTTTTTTTGTTTCTTTTTTCTATAAGGCCGAAGCCACTTCTTTAATCATAAGATATTTGTCCTAAATAGTCTTTCTAATCCATTTTCAGTTTAGGTACTTATTGTTTCCCCCAAATTTTCAAATCCGATTTTGAATCTTCTTTCAATTTGAATCTTCTTTCTTTCAATCTTATTTGTTTAAAGTCATGAAATTTTTTAAAGTTCCATATCTATGGAAACTAAAAAAATATATAGATATTTGTATGATTTTGGATTCATAACAATGTCTTGAATGTCGCGCGGGATTTCATTATTAGTTTTATATAATTTAATT